GATAGCTTATTCACCCCTATTGTAATTTCGACCTCTTTCAGAAGTCTTTCTTATTCACTTATTTTCATAAGCTCAAAATTCAGGCTCCAGCTTGATAAATTGGGATGGAGAATATTCTGAAAATGCAAAACTTTAATTGCCTCAAGTTGAATACCAATGACATAAATTCTTGACAATCATAGAACCATTCAGAAAAAATAATTGCTAGTTACTGAAACTAACCTCATCATACCCAGTAAGCCACACTCGAGGAGTCTGGTAATATTTATCATATCTGTAAGTGAGCAACATAAATAAAGTCATTGATGCCAACTTTAAATAAACTACACAGACCAACAAACTGAAGTGATCTTAAATTGCCTTATAATTTAACTATCCTGAAAGCCATACTTCATTATCATAGAATTTGAAATGAAAAACAACTGTTTCTCCAAAAAGAAATCTGCTACTAAGTTTAATATAAGGAAAATGTTGGGCCTGGTAAAAAGTTAAAAGAGAACAACAATCTTACGTGATGCTGACATCATATGTTCGGGTTCGTAAAATATTGTCATCGTCAGGTTCATGAGCAATAAGATATGTTCCCTGCAATATAACCACCATACATGATATACTAAATCGATGGAGCATCATTTTCGTGGTCTATACACATCATAGCAATGAGGGTTTAAAGAGATAAGAACTATCTTTTCACACCAACTAAACACTTACAGGATCAATCTCAATGTTGTCAGCTTCTTCAAAGTCAGCCATGTCCGGAATATCATCTTCATCTTCCACTCCAACATGCGAGGGGACCGATTTCACATCCCTATTCTTGCTGATTTCTAAACTTTCAATGGAGGGTAAGTTTTCCACCTCACCACTTGTATCTTAAAAAGACAAGAAACAGTCTGAGTAAACGGTTCTGCGAAATTATTGATGTTCACTTTTAACGGAAGTAACCTACCCTTTGGCTTCCCATGGGTTGCCAACCAGCCATCATTATCTTCATTATCAAGAAGAACTTCCATACCAGCAGCTTCATACTCCTCTTCCAAATATGCAGCCCTTCGTAAGCACGGCACTGAATAAAAATAAACAAATTATCCAAAAAGGTACGGGGAACAAGTAATAGCAGCAGTTTCATAGAGCTTAGATGTGAAGCACAAAAAGAGGCAAGTGTCTTCACACATGCACAAATTGAGAGCAGCACACGAGCGGACACACAATAATGGGCAGTTAGGCCATATGATTCTTAACTCAGTGAAGATTATGAAAACTAATTGGCTTGCTTGAGCTAAGTTTTTAACTTTTTGGAAGACAAAAATTTCCCTTCTTTGGTTTTCTTTCATTTACAAAAACCGTGTAGAGGACCGCTAGATAGGTGACTGTTAATGGTCAACTACGATCAATGCTATATAGGTGACTGTTAATGGTCCATTATGATCAATGATTAAAACGAAAAGGAAAAGAGGGAAAAAGCACACACTATCTTTACCTCTTATGTTTGAACATTATAGTCAATGCAAGAAAAGGATTGTAAATCTATAGCGCAATTTGATGTCACTGTACCATTTCTAGTAATCAAATACTGTTTCTCCGATGGTAAGTACGCCTTCCTCTTGCTCGGCTCGCCAGATTCCCTAACACAACACGAATCGAAACAAGAATTATAGACAGAATTTATCATCTTTCTGTAACTTCATCTGATTAAACAATGAATCAAACCTCGAATTTCAGAGAATTTGAGAGAAATAATAAATAAAAAAAATGGAAATTGAAAATAAAATTAAAAAAAAATTGAGAGAAAAAAAAAGGGAATTTGGATACCAGGACCAGGTGGGGCACTTAGAGACGAGGTTATCGCCAGCTGTGACGAACTCGGAGACGCTGAGAACGCCTTTTTCTTTGAAGGCGGAGACGGTGCGGGGACCTGTGATTTTCTCCACCGTTCCTTTGAACGCCTCGTGCAGCTTCTGTGACAGAACCATCTCCGCCCCCTTCTTACTTTCTTTTTCTCTTTTTTCCCTTGGAAAATAATCGAACTCGCTGCTTTGCTCAAGCTTCAGCGTTCGGCGTCCGGCAACAGAGGGAGAGGGAGAGGGAGAGTATTGGGGGAGAAGAAGGAGAAGAGATTGCGTGCGTGGTTGTGCCGTCTATTCGTGCGTGGGAAGTATTTACGACACCGTATATATAATAGAATGGAAGGGATTTCCTCTATTTATATTTTTCTAATTTTAAATTCTGAATCAATACCATCAATTATGCATGTATTCATTTTTTTTATTTTTTATTTTTTTGAGTACCGCATGTTATTTTTTATACAAACGATTATTGATATATACGCTAATTTGACTTTGCTGTAACTTAAAAATCATCATTTTATTGTCTGAAACTCAAAGTTCGTTTCACTTTATTCTTGGAAACTCGATTTTGATCTCATTGTGCTCTCCGGAACTTGAAAGCCATTTATATAAAACTCAAAATTCGCTTCATATTACTTTAGATTTGTTAACTTCTTATATAAGTTTAATTTGAATGCGGCAGGCTAATCGATTTCTTTTTTATTTTTTTTAATCTCTTCAATTTCTTTTAAATTTAATATTATTTTATTGTTAAATGTTAATGCGTAATGAAGATTTATTATCAAATCTATTGCACATGTGACATAGTATTATTGTGTGTTTGCTCTCATAGATGTTTCAGGAAGGGACCTATAAGTTGCAAGGAGGAGAGAGAATTCAAAAGTCAAAGTGGAATGATGAATTTTAGTTTCAAGAAGTAAAATTATGACTTTTGAGTTACAGAAAATAAAGTGAAATCAAAATAAAGTTAAGCCTATTCCTAACTAACTGAGCTACTAATCTCTTGCCATGGAGGGATTTTCCAAAGCAAGTGATGTAAGAGACGAGAGATTTTAACCCACCAAACCCTCGCTTATAGTTACTTGAGTTACAAGTGTCTTATATAGATCAGATATAGGTTACAAGTACAGTGTAATGACGAGAAATATGAATAAACGAAAAACGTAAATTTAACTGCCAGGAGAAGAATTTAAAGAAAGCAACGTATGAGTAACATAGATATGATCTTTTGTCTTGACATTTTCACAGAATTTCTAACATGCCCTTTGAAATAGGGGTGTGCTATCCACACACCTCATTTTACTTCTCACACATCCCTTGATAATTAACGTCTGTTGATCTTCTTCAATTCATCCGATCCGACGGCCAAAAATTAAAAAAGTGTGTGAGAGGTAAAATAGGATGTGTGGATATCACATCCCTTGAAATATATCTCAGGTGCATAAGCGAATAGAGTAAGGCAACCGCAGATTCAACGTTTTATGCTACCGTCCCTTGTGATGAGATTTTTTTTGTTTTTTAAGACAAGCTTAGGTGTTGCATTCAATTGGATTTTTTTAGATATTTCAATGGATTTATAAATTCAAGATTTTGATGGAGTTTAATTGATTTTTAGAAATTATATCTAAATTTTTGAGTGAATTCCCTCAAATTCTCATGGAAAGAGATGAGATTTGAGAAGGCTTAAAATTCAAATTTCTTTGAATTTTTCAAAATTTTTAAAATCCTTTAAAATCAATTTCTAATTGGATACACCTAGAATGTTATAATTTTTTTTATTAAAAAAAAATCTTGATTGAATACACCTACACTTTCAAAGAATCACTAATCTTGATTGAATATCCCTGAATTTGTGAAAAGAATCGAAATATCTTAAAATTCTAATTGAATACACCCCATAGTTTTGTACTAGGGATGAGTTAAAGAGGGATACCCTAACTTCAAGGACAATTGACAACTTGCAATCAGTTTTCTAAAAAGCTTTGCTCTAGGCACTATGTAGCTGATCACTGTCATGATTAATTCCTAGGCGTTTAAAAAATCAAAAAGGGCACCACAACTAGCCTATGCCTTACCTAGCATGTCTAGGTGGATATAAGTGTGCTAGGGAGCTACATCAGTCTAGGCAGGCTAGGTGGTTTTTGACTTTTTTGTTTTATTTAAGAAAATGGTTTAGTGTTGTCACTCGTAATCACTTAGAGAAGAAATAGATAATTTTTATTGTATATTTTATGTTGTTAATAAATTGTAAATGATTTGTTGGATATTTAGATAGATACTCATCATATGTTAGTTCTCCATGCTTTCAATATATTTTAGTACTATACAGTGTTTATATATTATCTTACAAATATATTATATCCTAAATTTAATTAAAATAAAATAACAACGTCTAGACCTCACCTCGTCTCCTAAACGCAAGACCCCTAACCGCCCACCCGACTTGTGCTACCGCCTAGAACCTTGCTTGCAATGCAATCTGAATTTACTTGAGGTTTGTTCAATTTTGTCAACTCATCAGTTTAATCCCTTATATTTCAAACTCAATTTATTTTGCTTTCGTCATTAATGTTGTCCTTGCCGTTCAACTCTGTTAAAGAATCCGTTAATATTAATCTCTGCTAATCGTTCTAAACTTCCAAATGAATTTTCGATTGAAAGTAATTTCCGGACTGCTCTTTTTTCATCTGCATGCCTCCATTGTTGTCCCCTACGTACCATGACCTCCTTTGACTTAGGGTGGTGCCATCCGCACACCCCTTGTTAATTTTTAGGGAACTTTAACGAAAAGCACCCGGTACTGTTCACTTTAACGAAAAACCACATTTTTACACTAAAAAGTCAATCATGGTACTATTCACTTTACCCTTTATTTTGTCCTTATCATTAAAACTCAAAGTTTTCAAGCTCTTTTCATTAGTTTTCCTTAATTTTTATCCCTTGGTCATCTACAATTCATTTGATCTGACGGCCAAAAATTAAAGGATGTATGAAAGATAAAAATGGTGTATGAATAGCACCAGTATTGATTTATTCAATCAAATACCAAGTGCAAAAAGTGCATGGAAAAGAAAATGCAAAAATCACTCCGCTCTCCGAAGGCTTGAGGCTTGAACCGAACGTACAAAGAAGAAATGGTGAACAATAAGAAAATTTAATGAACAAACCCAAGACCGTCATTGCATTTATATAGCCAAATGAACAATCAACCTCAACAACATTTACATACCAACTGCTTTGAGCAAATGTCAAATTCAACTGCAAAAACAAGGCTACTTTTGAGACCTCCCAAAACTAAAATCTGTACAGCCAGAGAGCTCGGATTACAGCTGCATCTCTTTTCAGCAGAAACGAAACCCTCGGGTATAAATAAACACCGACCACCGGTACAAATAGGAGGACTTCAATTCCCCGACACAATCTGACGATAAGGTGAAAGATTATAGGGCTCCAACCAGTTAAAAAGGTCAAAACCAAAAAGAGTTTATACTGCACTGAAAAACTGAGTCATATTAACATCCTAGAAGCAGAACCAGCAAAACTAAGGTTGTTTGTACTGATCGATGAGCGGAAGGGCGAGCTACTCTTCTAAACAAGGCTTTTCTAATTTTTACTAATATAAGAATTACATTTGAGGCTGCAGGAATCCATAATTCAAGTCTCGGATTATTTGCACTGTCTTGCATGCACGATGCACGTCTCATAAAAGTCTCATAGAAGTTTCATCCGTCTCCTTTTAGATGTATACGGGTTTTACATCATTAGGCCCAAAGCTCATGAAACACCTCGGGCACTTCCTCTGTCGAGTTTCAAGTACTTTTTTCACACAAGGGTTGCAGAACAAGTGATAGCATTTTGTAATGACAACCTAGCATTGAGATAAAGAAAAGAAACTAAGTGCTGTGCCACAGACACCAAAATAACAATGATGACAATGTTGAATATGGTAACATGAAATTTCTATGACCGACTGACCACTGATAAGCATCTGAATTTTAACAATTCCACTTTCGAAAGATAAGGACGGTGGAAGAGGAAATAAATAGCAAAAATATTTAAAACCACAAATGAAAATTAATGCGTTACATTTTTCGTACAAGTTGCCTTCGCTTAAAATTAAATCCACAGTTTGCAATGCTTCATGTATCATTCAACGCCCTTGTTCTTTACTTTCTACCAAAATTTTTGAAAATCAATTTTCTATTGTATGCCATTATGAAATTTCAACCTGAAGTCAGACCGACCTTCACATTTTCCTAGTTGCTCCACATATTAACCTGACTAGGATCTGATATTTGGACATTTTCAGCTCGAAATATTGATATTTAGACATTTTCACCACCAAAAATCTAAGAATTGTTGAAATGAAAACACTAAATAAAGAATAAATAGAAGATGATTCAGCTAATACCTGTTTTGTCCTGTCAAGGCAGACATCACACTTCAGTATCTCCTTGTATTCTCCAAGTTCCTGTTGAAGCCTTTCAACAATTGATGAACCCTCTGTCTGTGCTCGAAGCCTTGAAGCCTTCCTTTTTAAAACTTCCAATTCCTCCTCTTTTCTTCTCTTTTCAAACCTATTGAACAACAAAATACGAGTTGACACCACCAATATAAAAAGATTGGCAGGAATGGGAGCAGAACATCCACTATACCTTTCCCTCTCAAGTTCCAACTGCAGATCTGACAGACCATTGTGACTTTTCTCAACTTTAGATTGTGATGCGTCTAACGCCTCCCATAACTGCTGAGATTGCCTTCGGACTTCTAACACTCTCTTTCGAGTATTTTCCAACGTAATTTGTTTTTGCAACTTATCTTCTGCTACTTTCTGAATATGATTTTTGCATATTTTCAACTGTAAAGGAAGAATCGAACAATTAGTTTAACTTAACTCCACATGCATTTATACTAAAGTTTTACAGAAGATTAAAATATACCTGTTCTTCAATTCGAGCTGCTTTCATGTTGTAGAAATTAAGAGAATGATTGCCTAGTTGAATCTCCCTCTCCATTTTGCGTTTGTCCATGAGTACAGCATTCTGCTGTTGTCTTGCTCTTACCCCCTCTAAAACAAGCTGCAAGGAGAGCCACAAATAAAACCAAATATTAGAACATATTTATAATCATTCAACAATTTAGCATGCCGCATGTGGACTGATGCCTGTGAGTTTATCTTTTTTCCTTTCGGTATTACAGCATGTAAAATATACACCACCTCAGAAACCTTCAGACATAAGAAAATGGCGAGTCAATCACCTTAATGTTATAGTCATCTCTCAGTAATTTGCTGCAGTAGATGTTGGTTTTGAGTTTGCCTATCATCATATGACTGTCCAATAGTCTGAAGAAAAAGCAAAATAAAATGTCAGAACCATCCGATGACAAATGAAAAAAATCTCATCTGCATATAATAATGAAGAGCACTAACCTCAATTTCGGATAAGTATGCCTCATTTTCTTCATTTTTGGATTTCAAAATATCAGAAAGTCTCAAAATATTCCTGATATGCCAAGAGAAGGAAAAATCAAAATTCCTCTAAGTAATAGTCATGTCAAATGGAGAACAAGAAGCAGCCTAAACAATAGTGTACTCGTTACCATAAAAAAACTACACATAATCTATAATTCCTTCATGTTTCAATAACTGTTACAATCTGGTTTTAAGCCCATATGAAGGAGTGTCACACAAGTGTGACAGCAGCAAAAAATTGTTAATCCCATGAGTGGCTTGCAACAATCAATCATTTTTTGAATGAGGGCTGAATTGAATTATGAACAATTATTCCCATGTTTCAAATCAAGTATGATGGTTCAAAGTGAATCATTTTGGCATTTAACAAACATACCAAATCCTTATTTTAGCTCGTTGAGATTCCACTAGTAATAAATATATAAATAAATAAAAATTAAAGGGAATCATTAGGGAAAGTAACTTAAAGAGAGAGAGCTCTCAAATCGTATTTTGTTAATCAAAATCTTAGAAATTGAAGAGAGATAGAGAGTGGAATTCTTCATCCATGCAACCAGTTAAATTCCAACCATAAGACCAAAGGCTTAGGTTACCTTAGTTACAAAATTAAAAATTAAAAAAAAAACCCCTTTAAATATCCTAACATTTCTCTTGTACCAAAAACATGACATTAGCCAAAATTTTATTATATTTTATTTTATTTTATTTTGAAATTGGGTAATTAACCCAATGCTCCTTTTGCTTGAAGTTGGGTAATTAATCATAAATGCCCATAGCTATTCACAGAGAAGAGAACTATTGTTCTTTTAATGGAGACAAAAAAGATGAGAGTTTTATGGGACTGGTGTAATGGTAATGTTCTGGATGGTTTGTCTAGAAAGAAATATCAGGATGTTTATGCATAAATTTGGAAATTGATTTAAAAAAAAATAAAGGATTGGTTTTGGGAATTGTTTTGGGTCTCGGTTTCTAATGACTTAAAGAGTGCCCTTTCTTGTTGAATGTGACCATTTTCTTTGATTTCTCTAGACTAGAGGGTTATGTGTTTTTTAACTGCATTTCGTATTCTTTGACACATCTTATAGGTGGAATACTGGTTCAATGTGTCTCTCCTCATTCATACTATCTTTTTTGGCCAGCATCAGAAATAGTGTAACCTTTTGGAAGCTTCAAATTTCTGTCTCAAGTCAGCAATTTTAGCCTCAGCAGCAGCTAGCCTTTGTTGAGAAATGGCCTCAGCTTCATTTGCTGTCTTGACTCGTAATTCCAAGTTGCGTTCATCAAGAGAGGACTTCAAACTTTCAACACGAGCCCATGCCCTGCATTCTGAATCTCTAGATTCCAAGACATCCCTGTGAATAGAAAAAAAAAAAAACCACACACAAAGCACATATTACATTTGCACAACAAAAACAACACATGACAAGAAAATCAGCTATCACATTAATTTACGGAACTAAATTAATACAGTTGAGTTATAACACTATTGAATTAAAGACAGCACTATGCAAGTGAACTAGAACATGAGATCTCAAAAATTCACTTGTAATTAATTAAGTAAAACCCCTGCTGCACACTTCACAAAATTTGTAATGATAACAGAAACGATTTAAACCAGAAAATAGAAGCACATTTCAAAAAGCCTTGATACACTGAGTAGATGGTTCAAATGTCATTCTTTGCACCATATGCAAAATTGAAGTTGTGAATAACTAAATAACCAAAAATTAGTAAATGCGCCTCACCTTGAATCAGTCAACTCATTTCTATACATTTCCAAAATCAGATTTAACTCTGAGTCACATTCCTTTAAATCTTGGACCTACACCAAATAAATGAGGGAAATGAAAAATTGATCTAAACAAATCACATGAGAGCGAAAAAGTACAAAGCAAATTTATAATCTGAGAGCCACTGATATTTAATACTATGAACAGATGCAACTATTTCATGCGTGTGGCTGTCTAACATGGACATATGCGTCCATGCAAGGGAAACAGAGTTTATAATATGTTCTGAACAGAAGGATTATAGCCCCTGTACTATGAATAAATGCCAAGCACCTCAACTTTTATTTTTACTTCATTTAAACCGTACATTAGGAACTCAACAAGTTTACCAGACATAACTATATTATATGTGTTCTCATCATCTTCCATAAGCCATTGAATACAAAAATTATAGTTATCAACTATTAGTCTCCGGATTTTGGTCGTAATACTCGGTGAGCATGGATAAACTACTCAATGGGGAGCAGGAAAATAAAATTGTGTGTATGCATATATACATCACTTTTCTATTTGGATAGAAGAACTTTCAATTGAAATAGTTTCCCATAGTTGCTACCCTTTTTCTCAAAGGGTGGCCACAGAATCTGTTGCCTTTCATAATTGCTAAACTTTTCTCTTTGGGATGACAAGGTGGGTTTTTCCAGACATATGCTGCAATTCATATATTGAAGAACTAGGTCTCCATCTTTCTAATAGAAATAACATAAAAGAACAAACAAATTTGATGAGGATTGCCACCAAATGATTCCATTCGACTTTCAAAATTACTTTCTCTCGATACAAGTGGAAGGTACATATTTCTATAATCAGGACTTCTAAACAAGAAATCTACAAAATAAGACGGATATGAAGTCTGCCATGAGCACTCCGTTTTAAAAACACAGAAAGCCCATAATCCAAACAAAAAAATTATTCCCAACAGCAGACTAATCTAGATATATTCAACTTAACATAACAGTCAAAGCGTAAAAAAAAATCTTCAAATGGATTAAAAAAGAAAATAGAGACAGATCCTACACAATTGCTCAGAGATGACTCATTTTGTTTTATTCAATAATATAGGCTACCTAAAAGTGTTCCCCATACATGAAAAAGCTTTACAAAATCCCAGGTCAAGACTTCCACCTGGTGCTCATCTGAACATAAATTCAGTCACAGGATCAAGAAACACATACCACAGCATTCAACTTTTGTATCTCAGTGTCTTGATCTTTGGATCTGGCAGACAAAGTCCCACACTCTCTCACCTGTTTAGAAAGGCAAGAGTTTAACCTCTTTCAATTCAACCAAGAATCTCACTGCATAATAGAAATACCCACCTTCCTATCAAGGATGCTGGAAAGAGACTGCACATCAGCCTTTAAAGAATGAAAGTCAGAAGCAGCCTCTTTGTATTTACGTAATTGACCTTGCATGGAACCCATTTTCTCAGGAAATGAAGAAACCAAGGATTTAAATTCTTTAATGATTTCTTTTCTTCCTGAAATAGAGAACATAATTTCAGCATGTATACTGTGAACAAATGCAAGTCTTCCTCAGTTAAAAGAAAAGAATCAGATATCCTCAAACCTGGTTCTCTTGAAGCCTCTTCCAGCTTGGCTTCAATCAATTTTCTTTCCTCAATCTGTTTCTGTATTTCTATCCCCAAATCAGAAATTCTAGATTCAACAACTGCAGAAGATCTTTGAAAAACATCAGCAATGTCACTCTTGACATTAAGTTCCCTCTCCTTCCACAAAAGATTATCGTTCTCAGTCTATTCCAAGGCAAAAGAAACAATCAGCATTATGACACTAAACTTTCAAAAAAAAAAATTACAGTTAAAGGTGTAACTGAAACTACCGACCAGTTACCACCTGTAGTTTCTCAAATAACGCCTGGCACTCGAAGACTTCTGACTTTGACTTTTCTATTTGATCTCTCACCAAGAGATAAGCTTGGGAAGAAGAAATACACTCTACAATTTTAAGCATGTTCTGTGAATAAAATTATCCCAATTTTAGTAAAATGACTGAATATGAACTAAAAAAAATGACAAGAAGTGAAGAGTAAAGTTGGACTTGCATTGACATAGAAAATGACAATAGTAGCACAGTAAAATAACCTGCAAACTAGATAACTTCTGTAATATTTTTATCCTTTCTTCATGAAGGCCTTTGATGTCCATTAGCCGAGATGAAGCTTGGTCCTGCAGAATGTAATCAGTTGATAAGCTTACCCCCACCCAGTATAAGTTTTCAGTAGTCAATCAAGGAGAGAGAAGCCATCACAATACCATTAGATTCTTGAGAGTAGACTCCATATCTTGCAGATCTTTTTGCTTATCTCTGACTCTATCCACATGCTTGTTCCCAATATTTGGAAGTGGGAAAGCTGTGCCTTTTGCAGCATTTTTCTGTGGCTTAATAGTGTCTAGTTGACGATCAATGTCTTTTAATTCATCAGCTGCGGTTTCTAATTCCCCTTCAAAATACAATGAAAACATAACCGACTTTCAGAACATCCCTTGGCCTATCAGACCATGAAAATCTGCCACCATCCAAAGATTCTTCCTTTCTACTGTATTAAGGGCAGGTGATTGAGCGACATTTTTTTTGTGGGAAACATATGTACATTAATAAAGAAGTGCAAGAAAATATGGAGAATTCTGCAGCTTAAGAAAATACACAAGTCAAAACGCTCAGAGAGAGAAACCCATTGTAGGGAGGAGAGGATACCAACCCAGGTGGATTATTAGACTCTTACATCCTGAAGAGAGACTACCCACGAGGGACAACATTAATAATCAATGCATAACCCACCCACCCTACCCCTTCTTGATCCAAAATATATATATATATAAGAAATAGAGCAAACAAGGGAAAATATTACAAAAATATCTGGCAAATAATCTAACAAGGTTCATAAAAAGCTATATAACACAATAGATGTAAGAATTTACATTTCAAACGTTTAAGCTCAGCTTTATGTTTTGCTTCCAAGTCACAATCGCTCTGCAATTCCCTTGCCAACATTCTATGCTTGAAAAACACATCGATAAAGGCCAATCTCAAGTTCTTAACTTCATTTTTAAAGTCAGTTGATGTCTTCTGCCTACTTGTGCCTACCAAAAGAAGCAGTATACAGATGTATGAGGAGTAAGTTTGAAAGGAACTGGATCATAACATATGACGTTTGAAAGACATCTAATCTAAAGTCTAACCATCTTCTGGAAGCACTTTTAAAAGTGCATCACGCAATGCATCCTTCACACGCCACTGGTTGTCAATTGCAGCTATGACATTACCTACAATATTCTTAGTCTTTTCAATGGTAGTCCCTCTATCTTCTTCCATCTGATTAAAACTTTTACATGAACATGAACTTTCAGTCGCATCTGCTTGTGAAAGGCGGTCAAGAAAAGCATCCTGCAATGCAGACGGAGCACCATCTAACAAAAAAAATACAAGGCAGCCTTTTCAGCAAGTACATTTGAACAATCATACAACTATTACTAGGTCAAAAGGTATACATTCAAATCCCCATAAACATTCTCAAGCTCAGGGATATCATTGAATTCCAACATATAGATGAAAAGAAGAAATAGAATGGTAAATAACTAAAAACTCAGAGTGGAGCAGGGGACTTTTATGAGCAATAGAGCAAGCAAAACCATCTAGTGCTTTAAAAATTAAATAGATCTGACGGTGTATTAAAATCATATCAACTTGTGGCTTTCAGTTGATGCCTAAAGGGTGGTACAGAAATATTAAAGATGAGCACAGATGAACCAACCCAAAAACATCATACAGAAAAATTGGACAGCAGGATGAAGAACATTTTCATAATTTCTGATGAAAAGAATAACAGTATACAGAATTCAAACATTAACTTAAAATGACGTATCCATGTCGATATGCAACAATCATGAAAAGAACCCATTAGTTAACTCAGAACTTTTGCACCTACTACCAAGTTTAATATATTATATACACACACAAACTTCAAGAAGCTAAAGCTAGAATTAACTAAGATTTTTCATCATAACTAGTACCGCGACATTGAACATAAGTTTGATCCTCACCATCCCTGATGGAAATGTCTTCAGCATCTTTCAGATTGTTCGATTCTCTTAAACGGATGGAACAAGATTCCAAGTCATTAACCATCTATTGTAAAAAAGCATATGGTCAATTTCCCACAATCAATATAGAGTACCATAACCATAACACCAAAGAAGACAGGATCATAACAGACAAGAAGAAATAGAGAACAATCAACACAGGGTGTCCTACCTCTTCCCAAGACTTATTGACCACTGTTAATGTGGAATCATATGCCTTTTGTTTGTCCTTCATTTGAGAAAATTTATTCTCAAGAATAGAGTGCTCCAGCTTCTGAGTTTCTAAGTTCTGTGATAGCTTCTGAATTTGATATTGCAGGAGTTTAACGTCAAGCTACAAGTCAAAAAATATAACATAAGTTCAAAACAAGAAGATTACATGTGTGTGTGTGTGTGTGTATATATATATAATACAGCTAGGTGATCATATGTATGCCAGCAAAAATGTCTATAAGTTTTGATATGGGAAGTGAAAGGAAGATATGCATAGATCTTACATCACTTGAATAGCTGATTGACAAGAGCATTTGGCTCATTTGGTAACTTTCTCCCCAAAAGGGGATAGATTTGAAGGGAATTTGACATTCATGTTTCATATGAATTTCAAAGAAATGTCTGAAATTTAGATTATTTTCAAATAAGTACTATATAACTTCTCACTTATTTTCTTCTATCTCGAAGCCTATCATATATCATAGCCCAACCACTTTAACTTAGAAATGATAATTGACAAGGAAAACAAAAGTTAGAACATATGGAGTGCACACATCATCTTTAAAGGAGGATGTATTCAGTCATAGACTCTACCCTAATCTGTGTTTGATGATTTTATATCAAGCCAACCTAATTAACAATCGAATAGTCTTCGAGTCAACACACATTTCATTAACCACCCTCTAAAATCAACTATAATCTCTCCCATATCCTTAACAAAATAAAGATGCACCCAATTCAGATATTAGTAACCAAGAAAATCTTTACAAGGGTTTATTCAATACAGAGAAGGAAAAAAACCTTCAAATGATACCAGCCAAACTTGTCTTTCGCTTAGAGTCTTGCTATTGTGTTTGACACTAGCTCAATTGATCTATTCTTAACATAAATGGGTTACATCCCCGAGATGGAGCCAATAAGAGCAACCTTGACTCGTTAATTTTGTCTAGGGCTCAAACAGTATTGTCTACAATTTCCATCCCTAGCTGCATAAACTCTAGGTACAACTGAAATGCATAAAATCACCGCAAATAGTTGGGACAAAAAACCAGAGACTGAAAAACTGCGAAGACTAAGCAGTAAAGTGCCACCCTATTCATATACAAAACAATTCAATCCGACAAAGTAGTAAAATTTCACAATCTAAAATCAATTGATAAGTTTCAATGGTGTACCATAAACCTTCATCAACTATTAGACCACGAATTGTTCAAATCATCAGGCAAACTCAACCAGCAAAACAACAAATACAAATAATCCAAATACGAAACCTCCAATTCAAACTAAGAAGAAACATATGAGCAACTAGAAGCAAATACAAGCACAAAAGACCTCACCTTTTTGTCGTCATAAATGGGCAAAACGGGCTGCTTCTTAGCAGTAGCAGCCATGGGAGATATGGAGCTAAAGTGACGCCTTTTTCGATCAGACTCACCTGTGCTCCCCATTGGAAACCCTAGAAAGAAACTCCCCCCGCAAACACTTCCACCCACATTACATCAGACACACCCCCACAAAACGAAAACGGCCCCAATTCAATCAACCCCTTTTATACAACAGCTAGGCAGGCACACCATCAAACCCTATAAACTCCAGCACAAACCCTAGCTGGAAAAAGCCCTAATAAATTTTCCCAATAAATAAGACAGTTCCTTTTCCTTTTCTGCTCTCTCAATCCCCAAATTCTCAAGCCCTAATTCAAATTCCACAACCCCAACTCAAAACCCTAATATCTTAATCTTAAGATTGTTGAGAAATTTTGATCCATTTGATCTCTCTCGTTCTCGGCTGAGACTGGAATCCCCCAACACACACAGACAGACAAAAATATAATATAAAATGACTTTTTTATGGTTTTGTAAATCGTGCAAGAATATTTGAGAAGTAGAACGGCAGCGTGGAATTCTGTGAATGTAGAAGGGTGTTTTGGGTATTTAAAATATCAAAGGGAGAATTGGTTCTTTGTGAGAGTGTGAGGGGTGATTGGTTGGGCGTGGGGTTGTAGGTGGTGCGGTAAGCACGGGGGATTATTTGATCGGTTTCACCATCGCTCTGCGTGATGAAACTGAGCAACTCGGAATTGGATTCCATCTAGATCCATTTTATGAGAATTCTAAGATTCTTATATTTTAATCAACTTATTGTCTATCGTATAGTTAGAAATTATTTGATTTTTTTTATTTAAAATTAAACACAAACATTATCTGACAAAAACTGATCATATGATGTACGATGAACGCCTAGGATGTGGAGATCCCTAAGATCCCCACAAAATGGATCTGGAGAGGATAGCAACTCCACCCTAAGCACTTCCACCCTTAAAGCCCCCTCAACAAAAGGTAATTCAATCATTTCAAGTGACTACTTAATACTACGGTCTAGTAATATTTATCTTCAATTGTAAGCGAGAGATCTTAAGTGCGATTCTCGCCAAAGACGAATTTGAACCCATTATTGCATGCCCTTATGTGGCTTAACCTACTCTCACACCCCTTTAGTGTAGATAATATCATTAGTTTTTGCCATTTAGTACTGCGGTCAAATGATATTCATCTTCACTTGTAAGTGAGAGGTCTTAAATTCGATTCTCGCCAAAAGCGAATTTGAACCACATTATTGCTAGCCCATCGTGAGACTAAGCCCACCCCCCCTCCATTTTAGTATAGAAAATATTGTTTGTTCCAAAAAAAAAATCCCTCTAAGTGAACAATAACTACCTTTAATGAATAGTAACTGTTCAAGTGCATTTTCACCCCTAAACTAAATAACTCAGGCAATTCGTATTAAAATATTATTAATTATTTTTTTTAAATAAATTTTTTTTTAATTTCGGATAAAATTTTAACCAATCTCATTACATCACCTGTCATTATCCGAAAGAACAATTTTTATGGGTAGATTTTTAATGAATTTCGTAGCCATGTGTCATGGTTGTGTAAGAATTTTGTGGATAGATTTCCGATAAGATGAAACAAGGTGAAGAAACTTAAATCAAGCTTGTGGTGGAAGAAAAAAGCTCTTAGCTTATTTGGTGTTTTTTTCTTTCTTAAGTTTATTTGGTGTTTTTTTTTAAAGTTTATCTGATGTGTTTTTGTAATTTTATTTGGTGTAATTTTCTAAGTTTATTTGGTGTGCTTTTGTAATTTATTTAGTTTTTTTTTTAAGTTTATTCGGAGTGTGTTTATAATTTTATTTGTTATGTTATGTTGTTTGAATAAAGATGCTCTTAGTTTAAATAAAGTACCAAACTAAATAAATACGAAAAATATAAAATTACATAAAGTACCAAATTAAATAAAGTACTAAATTGAATAAAGTATTAGATTAAATAAATACCAAATTATATAAGTACGAAATTACCACCCAAGGGAAGGGAAAATTATGGGATCCGATTTTATAACAAATTCCCTAGTAATCACCATAACATTTTGTGGTGCTAGGACCCCCTCCACTTGTTCCATCGTCTCTTGCATGCCTCTTTAGCACGTCTGTTGTTTTCAATGTCCAAAATATTTAGAATTTGAAGACATTCTTTCTAAAGGTTTGTTCATAATTTCACAATCTTGTTGAGTCATCCTTTCTTCTCTAAGCATCCATTTTCTTGCCTAAGTAGCTCTCTTTGTCTCTCAGTAACCACATCACGTCTCTCAATAGTCGTTTCGCGTCTCTTAATAGCCGCAACTCTAACTTGTTCTCTAGCCACAACCCACACCAAGTTCAGTTCACTTTGGTGAGCAAGTTCTTCCATATGTTTTGTACAATCACTCCTGGAAGACCTCCCTTTTTTTCTTTGCAACATTGTTACCTTGAGGCCTGAGTGAATAATAAGTCGGTTATGACACTCCTTTAGGGATCACTTCAGGCACTTCAAATGTGTTGCCTTCCTGTTAATGCAAGTCTACTTCTGGCAGAGAGTGTAGAGGGATGTCATTCATGACAACTTCTGGACTGGCTAGCACAATTCTGAAATTGGGATACTCTTTGACAACATTCCTGATAGTTGAATAATTTGTTTTTGTTTTTTGCATTGTAGGAATCTTGTGCTTGAAGTGTCTATAAAATGTGGGTGAAGACAATATTATAATCAAACTAATAATGTCAATTTGGGTTGGGTGTAATACAAATAAATAAATGAATAAATAAAATATTGTCGCCCGATCCACTAAATTTTCACCACTTCGAAGATTAGAAGTAGATTGAGCAAGGGCGTCTCTGCAATAAGTAAGCAATTGGTTAAGTGTTTTCCAATGACATTGAAGAGATTGATCTGTTCTTATAGGGCCAAGCTTCCCAGAAAACAAGGTATGAACCGTCTTCCAAACTTCTCGCAAGTGCATCTCATTAGCCGTAATCAGGTCATGAGTGGCTTGAACCCAACATTCCCACAACATAACATCTTCAATGGCCGACCAATTCGAACATGCTTCATTAGCCACTTTTTTGTAAACAAAAGTGTATGAAAACTTTGAGAGAAAGATTAGTCGAAAGTTTTGAAAATTTTGAAATGTGGTGTAAGGTGGAAGATAATAGTTAGGTATTTATAAATAAATAAATATATATATATATATATTATTTTTCTATATTTTTAGTAATTTTTTATTAACTTAATTAATCTGGGCTATTGGATTACAAAAAAATTGAAATCCAACAGCCTAGATTTTGATATGGGTCTAACAGTAACATTTTTTATTTTTTCATTTTTTTGCCAAAAAACCTAGACCGTTGCTTGGTTCACTTGATTTCACAAAATGACTTAACATTAATGTTTGGGTGAGAAACTTTCAAATTTTAAAAAAGTTAGGCATAGTGATGAAAAAATGGATTGGATACAAAGGAATAAAAAGTGCACCGCGTAACATTACAAAAGGCATATGTCATATAGTACTACGGTCTAATAATATTTCTCTTCACTTGTAAGTGAGAGGTCATCGGTTCGATTATCGCCAAAGGCAAATTTAAATCACATTATTGCTAGCCCATTGTAAGGCCAAGCGCATCCCTCTCTTTTAGACTTTTAGTGTAGATAATATCGTTTATTAAAAAAAAAAAAACATTACAAAAGGCATGTGAGAAATGACTTTAAATTTAGAAGTCCCTCACCCAAACCCTAAATAATATTTTATAGGCACTTCATTAACCAACAAAATATATAATTCTAACAGACTTTAGGGTCTTCAAGTTCGCTACAATATGTAACCAAGCTTTATAACATCCAAAGAAAAGTGATTTGTAATATGAGCTGTGATCTTTAAATTCTACCATTTTGATCGTTGGTAGTTTAATACAAGAGTAAATAATAAAGCAGTTGAGCACTTTTCAATATCATTTCTTTTTACCACGGTTAAACAGAACAGAACAAAACAAACGAGCACGCGCTTCTACACTGTCTTGTGTTCCCATGTCCATGCCTAGCAGGCCTTCAACTTTCCTACGATTGAATCAAAAGAATAAGACGGAAAAATGGAAAACCTCGAAAACTATTCGCTGAGCGGCACACAAATTTACACAAAACTGAGCACCATACCCTGCAAGGATATAAAAGCCTCATTCATCTTTCGTCCCATTATCGCGTCTCTTGTTCTGCCCAGCTTTGACAAGCAATGCCAAAAGAGCTTCACAAACTTGAGAAGCATCTGCTTCAGAAGGGTCGTCTGACAACGACGAATACAGGAGCTGAAAGAAAATACAATAACAGAGGCAAGAAATCTCAACATGAAAATGACTCCGGAACAATGAAAAAATTATTTTTCTTTACCGTTGTTTTCGTTAACACCAGATAGTCACATGGACGCACTCACTCCTTACATACCTTAATCACTTGACGGATCACAATCTGCATTAGCTTTCGTAAATTCACATAATCACCAAGCTGTCCCTCTCGCAAGATATCTGTAGCTATTGAGCTACTACCTCCATATGGACTTTGTGCTAACGCCAAACCGGCAACCTTATCTTTCAAATCAGGCCAATACAATGATAGAGCTGCTGCTGCATCTATTCCCCATTTGCTATGTCCCGGAAGCAATGTTAATGTGTCTGAATTCTAGAGATTTGAACTGAAGAAGGAAAGCTGAACAAAGAGCAAAAACAAACCGAAGAACACAATGGAAGATGAATAGTTCTCTCTTCTCTCTGTCAAATTGCAGAGGAATATTTTCTATGTTAATAAAAGAGCACGAAGCACATGCTTTTACATAACTGATGGCCTAGCACTTGGGACCACACATACACTACATTTCATCCTAGACACACATCTTTCTAATCTCATGGATCACTCAACACATGGCACTCATGGCCTTTTTACAAAACTAGACATTTACACTTTGCCTCATTCTGCACAAGTGGATACACCAATTTAAAACAAACTTATTCTAAAACTTTTCAGCTCAAATACTTATAGTTCAACACTCCCCTTTAAGTTTTGAGCTGATTTCACACCAAGCATATCTCGAAGATAGTTGAATCGATCCTTAGACAAAGCCTTAGTAAATATGTCTGCCACCTGCTCATTTGTTGGACAGTACACCAAATCGATTATCCCTTCCTGGAGTGCATTCTTGATAAAATGATACCTTCTGTCAATGTGCTTGGTTTTCTGATGGAAAACAGGATTTTTAGTAATTGCAATTGCTGCTGTATTATCACAGTGTACTGGAGTCGCTTCAGTTTGCATCTCACCAAAATCTTCAAGAACAAATCTAAGCCAAATGGCTTGAGCAGTTGCTTCAGAGGCACTGATGTACTCTGCTTCTGCTGTAGAGAGTGCTACACAATTCTGCTTCATTGAGGCCCACAAGAACACTCCACTACCAAAGGAAAATGCATAACCGGAAGTACTTTTGCTGTCATCAACAAATCCTCCCCAATCACTATCACAAAAACCGATTAACATTGCATTCTTTCCTTTGACATACTCCAGACCATAGTCTAATGTTCCCTTGATGTATCTAAGCACTTTTTTGGCAGTCCCATAGTGTTTGTTTGTGGGAGAATGCATGAACCTGGAAAGTAGACTTGCTGCATACATTATGTCTGGTCTTGTAGCTGTAAGATACAGTAAACTGCCCACAATTTTTCTATACTGTTCTTCATTTGCTGGACCACTTCCATCATCCTTACTAAGTTTTTCAGCTGGAATCAATGGTGTAAACACAGACTTGCATTCATTCAACCCAAATTTATTCAACAAGGAAGAGGCATACTTCTTTTGGTGAATAAATATGCTGAAATTGGTTTGAATGACTCCCATTCCAAGAAAATGGTGAAGTAAACCCAAATCAGTCATCTCATATTTCATCATCATGTCCTCTTTGAATTCTTCCAACATTTCTATGCTACTACCTGTGTAGACAATATCATCTACATAGATAGACACAATTATAATATCTTTTTCTCCCCTTGACTTGATGTACAATGTTGGTTCACTGAGACTCTTTTGGAAACCACACTGGGAGAAGTAAGCATCAATTTCTCCATACCAGGCTCTAGGTGCCTGTTTCAGTCCATAAAGAGCTTTATGAAGCCTATACACTTTATCTTCTTTGCCTTGCACTGTGAATCCCTCTGGTTGGTCTACATATACTTCTTCCTGCAGTACTCCATTTAGGAAGGCAGATTTAACATCAAGTTGATACAACCTCCAGCTCTTTTGAGCAGCTAATGCAATGAGAGTTCTGATAGTGTCCAGTCTAGCCACTGGAGCATAAGTTTCATTATAGTCGAAACCAGGTTTCTGGGCATAACCTTTGGCAACCAACCTTGCCTTGTTCTTCAATACTGTGCCATCCAGATTCAATTTGGTTTTATAGACCCATTTAACCCCAATGACAGGCTGCATTGTTGGTCTATCTACTAATTCCCATGTACCATTCTTTTCAATCATGGTCAACTCATCCTGCATTGCTCTTAACCATGATTCATCTTGAGCTGCTTCTTCATATCTTTCAGGTTCCATAACACACAGATTGCATTAAGCAAAAATATCATCAAGATTTCTCCATTTCAGAGGTGTGTGATCATAATCCTCTGAAAGCTTTGCAGATTCAGGAGTACAACTTTCTTGTTCTTGTATATGAAAAGGAGAACTAGGACTGAGAGAACTTCCTTCAATCACACTCATCTCATATGGATTCATACCAACTACATTTTCAGGTTGATCCTGAATGTAGGTTGCAGCAGCTGAACTTTGTGGATTTTCTTTCCAATTCCAGGTCATAGATTCATCAAAGACTACATCTCTTGACAGGATTAATTTGTTAGTACATGGATTAAATATTCTGTATCCCTTCTCACATGTAGCATAACCAACAAATACACCTTTAATACTCTTAGCATCTAGCTTCTGTCTTGTCTCAGTGGGTACATGTACATAGCACAGGGAACCAAAGATCTTGAGATGTGCTATACCTGGTTTTCTGCCACTATAAGCTTCAAAAGGAGTCATATTTCCAAGTGCCATTGTAGGACACCTATTTAGAATATATACAGCTGTGTGTACTGCTTCAGCCCAAAGGACATATGGCATACCTCTATCATGGAGCATAGTTTTTGCCATTTCAACCACAGTTCGATTTTTCCTTTCCACTACTCCATTCTGTTGAGGAGTATAAGCCATGGTGAGTTGCCTTTGAATGCCTTCAGTTTCACAGAACTTAGTGAACTCAGAAGATAAGAATTCTCCACCTCTGTCACTCCTTAGACTTTTAACTTTGAAACCACTCTGCAGCTCCACCATTGACTTGAACCTTTTAAAATAATTGAATGCATCAGATTTGTATCTGAGAAAATACACCCAAATCATTCTTGTACAATCATCGATGAGTAACATGAAGTATCTGTTTCCAGCCAAAGATGCATTCTGCATAGGACCACACAAATCAACATGAATAAGTTCCAGGGGACAGTTTGCTCTCCAAGATTGATTCTTTGGAAACCAGTCTCTTTGTTGCTTTCCAAATTGACATCCTTGACATACATCTTTGATTTCTTCTAGGTATGGAAGACCATGCACCATATTTTTCTCACTGAGTTGCTTCAACCCCCTGAAGTTCAAATGACCTAGTCTTCTGTGCCAAGTCCGAGTAGAGTGATCTATGCTTGCTTTCAGAACCAACCGGTTGTCTTGCAACAGAGAAAGAGGATAGCAACGATTTTCCTTCTTCTTGACCTTGATGACAAGATTGTCAAGTGAAGGTCCATCAAACACACTACACAAACCTCCTCCAAACACTAGATAATATCCATGCTCATCCATTTGACCTACACTCAACAAATTTTCCTTCAATCCTGGCAAGTGCATGACCTCTCTAATGTACTTCTTCCCCTTATTAGTATCAATTTCCAATGAGCCCATTCCAGCAACATTTACTAACACTCCAGTAGGCATCTGCACCTTTCCAACAACATTTGTTCTTATATCAACAAGGAGATCAGCATTCCCTGTCATGTGGTTACTACAACCACTGTCAATTGTACCAATTTCCATTGACATTTTTCTCTGAAATTGCACTATTAGCATAGAACAGATTCCCTGTCACTTCCACCTGATTTGCAGAATTTGCCTTTTGCATAATCTTCCCTATAGTGCATTCTCTAGCCCAATGACCAAACTTATCACAGTTATAACATTTGGGCTTCCCTTTATATCTACATTCACCAAAATGAAACTTAGAACACACTCTACACTGTGGTTTGGTACCCTCTTGACTCATAACCTGTGAGGAAGCATTATTCTGTGCAACATTTGTGAATGATTTTTGCTGAAACTTTGGTTTTGAATCCCACTTCTTACCCTTTTGATTCCAATTTCTCTGTGGTTTAAAATTACTAGACTGAGCATAACTTCGATTCTGCCCTTTTGAATTAACAGTAAGAGAAGAAAATGCTTTCTCAGTTGCATCTGAGGAATGCAAATCAAACCTCTGCTCTTGACTCTTCAATATAGCTAGGACCTCTTGCAGTTCAACAGATTCTAGACATTTGGTGTTTTCTATCACTAAGCATATAGGATCATATATCTTAGTGAGACTGATTAACACCTTCTGAACTAATCTCTCATTTGACAAAGTTTCACCAAACGTTTTCATTTGATTAATCAGATCATTCAAACGAGTAAGATACCCAGTCAAGGATTCATCATCACGCATTCTAGTGTATTCAAATTCTCGTCTGAGATTTTGGAGTTTCACAGATCTTACCTGATCCCCACCGTGATATTCACCATGTAACAGATCCCATGCCATTTTTGCTGAGTCTGCGTTTGCGATTCGAGGGAAGATCTGGTCGGAGACTGCGCTTGAATGATTCCGAGAGCTTTTGCATCTTTCATGAAGATTGCAGCCATTTTCTCATCATCGTCAGCATCAACATCTGTATCTTCATCAGTCTTAGCTTTCTTCTTCTTCGAATCGAGAACCGAAATCCCTTTTTCCACCAGATTCCATAGTCCATGTGACTTGAAAATGGTAACCATTTTGATTCTCCAGAACTCGTAGTTCTCACCGGAGAAGATCGGGGTCCTCACTTCAGCACCTCCAGATCCAGCCATTTTTCAAATCTTTCGTGAGCTTCGATTGAGCTCAGTAACCTCACAGATTTACGCCCGGATTTTTAAACGACGCAACCTGGCTCTGAGGCCATGTTAATGTGTCTGAATTCTAGAGATTTGAACTGAAGAAGGAAAGTTGAACAAAGAGCAAAAACAAACCGAAGAACACAATGGAAGATGAATAGTTCTCTTCTTCTCTCTGTCAAATTGCAGAGGAATATTTTCTATGTTAATAAAAGCACGAAGCACATGCTTTTACATAACTGATGGCCTAGCACTTGGGACCACACATACTACATTTCATCCTAGACACACATCTTTCTAATCTCATGGATCACTCAACACATGGCACTCATGGCCTTTTTACAAAACTAGACATTTACACTTTGCCTCATTCTGCACAAGTGGATACACCAATTTAAAACAAACTTATTCTAAAACTTTTCAGCTCAAATACTTATAGTTCAACAAGCAAGACACGTTTTTTGGAACCCTAATAGAGTTCCTCAATGTATTCTTTTATCTCCCGAGCATTTTTTTCAACCGAAGCCTGATTGTTGATTATTAACACTTAGTAGAGAATATAATAATAATGTGAAAAAGGATTTTTCTTTAAAAATAAAAAATACCTCACCATGAATCTTTGCTATATGACAGACCAAACCCAGCTTTGATAAACTCATTTTTGCGTTTACAAAATATAGTGGTCCATGGTTGCTGAAAAGGCCTAATGATTACAAAAGTAACCAAAACTTCATAAGCAAAATGTATATAGGATTGAAAAGAAAAGCACAAATTTGACAAAGAAAAAACAAAAAAAGCTCCGCAATGCACCATTCACATCATACAAGCAAGCCACATCAGTACTATCATTTTGTGTTTATTCGAAGAAATTGGAACCAACAAACAAACCATCGAGTTTGGCAATCTGTGAACACCATGCCTGGGTAGGGGAGAAGGATTTCCATTAATTCTGGCATCAACATGATAAGAAGATCTATATGCAAACTAAAAATAAAATACAGTATACTACACCTGATATCCCCCAAAATCTCCATGAACCTTTCAGTACTGTCTTCAACAGGTGGCATTGTCGGATCACGCTGTAGCCATCCTATATCATCTGCCGACCCACGAACAGTTTTTCCCACCCGATCAATAAGGCTGAAAGCAACACAATAATCACTATTGAAGTTGAAAAGCATGAATGACGCAAAAAATAAAAAGCTCACAGAAATACAAGCTTAAAGATATATCACTGACAAATATATGGCTTGGTTCCAATAAGAGGCCCACTACACATCCCCCATAGGATACTCTAGTAACAGGCAATAAATCATATTCCTACTTTGTGTTGGGAAGTTGCTGGAGGAGCTAAGCTTTTAGCTGCAAGATAGGCTATCCCATACTATTGACACTTCATGGTTTCTAAGGCTATGTAGCTTTCTCAGAAAGCACTGATGCCTACAAATTTATTTTTTAACTTTCTTTCTCTGCTAGTGTTATTCTTACCTATACTTACTGTAACCATAACCAGAATGCATTTTCCACAATTCCATGTAAAAGTTTTGTTAGCTTCTTGTGGTGCAATAGCCATCAAGATACAGAAATTTCCAGGTCAAGCTTCTTATTTCTCAGTTAGATTATTTATTAATTATTTGGGGAGGGATCGTGCTGGTGGTTAGCATGTAAGAATATTTTAATATTCTAAAGTGGTCCATATGACACGGTCCATATGATATGTCGGGTTTAACGGATATTATCATTTGTAAATAATCCTATTGGTTAAATTATGAGAAATGTTTCCTATCAAATTACTATGATGGGTGGTAATTGATTATGGGCTTTAAATGGAAACGGGTCCTCTCTCTACCTCACTTATATATATTGCATATACCCATCTAATATGCACTTGATAGAAAAAACACGATTAGGGTTTTCACGTGCAAATAGAGGCAAGAGAGAGAACACCTATTTCCTCCGCCGTTGACAGAATCCGTTTGGGATCTCACAGCGTTCGTTGTCATGGATCAAGGTACGCTTGGTTGTTTAATGTATTTCCGTAAATTCTTTGTATGTGAAAATCATGAAGTTCGATGATCTTGGCTTAATTGTTTTAAGTTTCACATGTGGAATCGGTGGTTAATTAGGGTGCAATGTCTGCTGTTTTGAGGCAGACATGATTGTATTTTATTTGCATGTATTGATTATGCATGTTGGGATTAAGAAATTGTAATCTTAGTTTTATTACAATTTTTGCCGAATTGCATATTTGGGTATGGAAATTATGATGCAATTTGGGCGATTCTTTTAGTTGGAATTAGTTAAAGTAATTTGAATACCTATGATTGATCATTACGATTATAAACGTCATTCATTTAATTTGTAATTCGTCTTACGAAATTATTTGCAAGTCACCAAAGTGGCCAAACTAGAAAGATTACATGGATTCAAATTAAATGATGATTAATCAATTACTCATGGTAGGATGATGCATATGAACGAACAAAACCTTATTATGTTTTAAAGGTTTGTACATGAGTAATATGTTTTTCATTTGTCATAAATTCTTAAGGGTCACCCAAAGGTAGACTAATTGCTCATATGATTGATGATATGAATGTGTTGAGAATTGTATATTTCATTTTTATTTGTTCGGATATCCAAAGATAACGAAACTTGTCTTGTTAGAGATGTACAATTATCAATAAGGTATTATGCATCAATGATTGTTTGTATTGTTGTAGTATCTACCCAAAGGAGAATATGATAATTCACTTATTGTTATTACACGTGTTTTTATTACTCAAAGCATTAATGTTGTGAGCTTTTGAATTGCAGTGTTAGTGCCTGTTTCTCTTCATTCGCTTGCTCCATCTATTCCCTCACTTAATGGAACAAATTTCTCAGATTGGAGTGAGCAAGTTCAGTTTCACCTTGGTGTTCTAGATCTTGATTTAGCACTTCGAACTGATAAACCTGCTGCTCTTACGAATACAAGCAGCACTGAGGAAAAATCTCTCTATAATGCCTGGGAGAGATCGAACAGATTGAGCATAATGTTCATGCGAATGACTATAGCGAGCAACATAAAGACTGGCCTTCCTCAAGCTGAAACTGCTAAGGAATACTTGAAAAATATTGAGACTCGTTTCAAGACTGCTGACAAGTCTCTTGCTGGGACATTAATGGCTGAGCTTACCACCAAGAAATTTGATGGTATGCGAAGCATGCATGAGCATGTCCTTGAAATGACTAATATAGCAGCAAAGCTAAAGACTCTTGGAATGAATGTGGATGACTCCTTTCTTGTTCAATTTATTTTGAACTCCTTGCCTCCTCAATATGGGCCATTTCAAATCAACTATAATGCTATTAAGGATAAGTGGAATGTTGATGAATTGGCCACTAAACTTGTTCAAGAAGAGGGAAGGCTTAAGCAGCAAGGAGAGCATTCCGTTCATTTAGTAAGTCAAGGAGCTGAAAGAAAATTTGGAAGAAAGCCTGGAAAGGGAAAGAAAAGAGGACCACCCAAGGTGAATGGACCTGCTAATGCTACTCAGGCTCATGATAAGGAACAGAAAAGTGATTTATGTCGCTTCTGTAGGAAGCCTGGGCATTATCAAAGGAATTGTCAGAAATTCAAAGAATGGTTCGAAAAGAAAGGTGAGCCTTTGGCTTATGTAAGTTTTGAATCATATTTAACTGAAGTTCCTTATAATACTTGGTGGGTTGACTCTGGTGCTACGGCTCATATTTCTAATTCGATGCAGGGATTCCTTACGACCCAAACTTTAAATCCAAATGAAAATTTCATTTTCATGGGGAATCGAGTCAAAGCTCCAGTTGAAGCTGTTGGAACCTTTCGTTTAATTTTGGATACTGGATATTGTTTGGATTTATTTCAAACACTTTATGTTCCTAGTTGTTCCAGAAATTTGGTTTCAGTTTCAAAGCTTGACTGTAATGGATTTTTTATAAAGTTTGGTAATGAATGTTTCAGTTTATATAAGAATACCTCTTTTGTTGGTTCTGGTATTCTAATAGGTGAGCTGTATAATTTAAAGCTCAATAATCGTTTTGCTGAAACACTTTTGACCTTGCATCATAATGTTGGAACTAAGCGTAGCCTAAACAATGAAAATTCTTCATTCTTGTGGCATAAACGACTCGGTCATATATCCAGAGAAAGGTTAGAAAGATTAGTAAAGAATGAGATTCTTCCGAACCTAGATTTTACTGATCTCGGTGTATGTGTGGATTGTATTAAGGGCAAACAAACCAAATACACCAAGAAAGGAGCCATAAGAAGTTCAGAGCTTCTTGAAATAATTCATACATACATATGTGGACCTTTTGATGCTCCATCTTTTGGTGGAGAAAAATATTTTATCACCTTTATAGACGATTTTTCACGTTACGGCTATATTTATCTATTGAAAGAAAAATCTGAAGCAGTGAATGCCCTTCAAGTGTTCATTGCTGAAGTTGAGAGACAATTAGATAAAAATGTGAAGATTGTCAGGTCGGATAGAGGTGGTGAATTTTATGGAAAATATGATGAATCAGGACAATGTCCTGGTTTATTTGCAAAACTCCTTGAAAGGCATGGCATATGTGCCCAATACACTATGCCAGGTACGCCACAACAGAATGGTGTTGCTGAAAGGCGTAATCGTACTCTTATGGACATGGTTAGGAGTATGTTAAGTAATGCATCTTTGCCTATATCATTGTGGATGTATGCTCTTAGGACTGCTGTATATTTGTTAAACCGGGTTCCTAGTAAGGTAGTTCCGAAAACACCATTTGAACTGTGGACAGGAAGGAAACCTAGTTTAAGGCACCTGCATGTTTGGGGTTGCCCAGCAGAAATAAGAATTTATAATCCGCATGAAAAGAAGTTGGGCTTTAGAACGATTAGTGGTTACTTTATTGGTTACCCAGAAAAATCCAAAGGATATAGGTTTTACTGTCTTAATCATAGTACGAGAATTGTT